CTATGTATTGAAACCACTCTCAATCGACAAGCATGCATGAAGAGGTTGATGAATGGTACTATGTACATAGATGAAGCGAAAGATGTATGCTAGTATAGTATCATTTGGCGTTCTATTGTCTCTGCCTACCCCAATTTGAGACAGGCGTGACAATATAATTATGTAATTTTAACATAGGTACTTATCTCTTAGAAGGACTAATACCTATTAATATTATTTTAATAAAGTGCAAACTAATGATCATGCAGTTTCAAAACAGGGTTAATCTTAAACCGTGACTAACTTGTTATTCAATTTACTAACCTTGAATAACTGCAGGTTAAAATATAAGTTAATTATTTCAAAGTAGGTACTTTATTGAAATTGGTCTTGTATTGTCAGTGTGTAGATTAAATCTGTTAATTATTTTATACAAAGACTATTATGACAATTCGTAATTATTAATTATTTTCGTTCATTAAATCAATCACGATTTTTTTTTATCAACAGTTTTATGAAATTAAATATTCATATCTCATTGGCATAATGTAAAGATACATAACACAATAACATCACAGTTTTGAAATCCTCGTAGTGGTTCACAAGTTAGATTTGTGTTGTGTCTGTTTTTTTATGGGATAAGCCGGTAAACGAGCAGACGGATCACCTGATGGTAAGCAATCGGCGTCGCCCATGTATACTTGGAACACCAGAGGCGTTACAAGTGCGTTACCGACCTTTTGGAATTAGGAATTTGAGGGTTGTTGGGGATTGAGGGATTGGGCATGGGGGAGGGAGGTTGGTAATTGGGTTCGTAATTGTAATAGGGCTAGTCTTGTAACAGTAATAAACAAATGGTTGCCATAACCGAACCCGGCATGGAATGATGATGATGATGATAGATAGAGCAAGTCTATTGCCATATAAATATATATTTACCTGGTACAATTACTAACTAAGAATTTTTCGATATTCACTCTACAGTACCCACAAAACTCAAGCCACCATGTCCAACAGCCTCACTTTCAATCAGTGTGCCAATAAAGTCATCATTAAGTAATAATTGCGATTATAATGGCGGCATTAATTATTGATTTAAACGTCAATCAGGATTACCATTACAACATGTCGGTTAAACTGTTAAACTATCTGTCAGATTAACTTATAGTTGAGTAATTACTGCTAAACGTTTTCAATTTCTTACTTTAATTATTGTGAAAGAGTATTAAAGTATTAATTAGATACAAAAAGTGACTACCTCGTTGGCCGAGTGGTCGCAAGTGCTACTGCCGAGCAAGGGGTCTCGGGTTCGATTCCCTGTCCGGAAAAGTATTATTGGGTTCTGAAAAATTCTCAGTAGTAGCACCGATACAGCAGATACAAAACCAACAGTAGTGGCCTCTGATAAACTTGATCCTTTGATTTTTATAAAAGCGTTATTTCAAATTGTAAATTTTTTTGACGTTTAAAAGTGTCTTCCTGGTCTCTTTGAAATAAATGATTTTGACTTTGACTTTGTAAGTGTATATAAATGTGTGGGTACCATGTTTGTGGCAGTCGTCTTAACGATTGTTTTTAAATTGGACCCTGTATTGTCGTTACTTTGTTCCCACATGTGTATTCAATAAGCAAAGATAATAATATAGAACAAGAAAAAATGTCCTTTTCTTGTATAGAAGCAGTAATTCTATGGATTGTTAGTATGCATATGTGAGCACCATGTTGGACTTTAAGATTTTTATTTTTTTTTTAATTTTAGTAAGTTATTAGTATAATGCGTCAAGCGTGTCTTTGCGTTGTTCTTACATATGTGTACAGTATTGAAATATGTATCAGAGACATTGTAGAACATACTTTTTTAAAAAGAGTAACGAATGGAGTTTCTTGTTCGTTCTTCTCCATTCGAATCTACTTTTTGGAATGAGCACCTAGCTTCACCTAGTTTCACTGACGGACTGACTGACAGACTATTATTTATATTGTATTTGTTGACGTTTCAAAAGTACCAAACTATGATTTAATTGAAATAAATGCTTTGACTTTGACTTTGAAAGATCATAATAATGTATCTTTGAGTTCGTTAAAACATTATTTTTAAAAGAGTAACGATAGTATTTCTTGCTTTTTGCATCTTTCAATCAACACCCTTCTCTAATACCACTCGATCACTCAATTTTACTTCACATATACTTCTTCATAAAAACGCAATGTTTATGTATTAATTTCGATGGTAAATTAATCGAGGTCGAACTGAAACATGGTGATCACTCCACTCCAGTCAGTCGGTCAGATAATCTTATCAATCTTACTGATAACACTGTTTACCTACATATAGTGATTGCCAATATTTACTGTACTATATCTAACTATTGGTAAATATATTGGAAATAACTTGTTTACGTTTTTCAGTGTACTGAAATATTAAATAGGTAAGTAAGTCCTGCTTTCTAGGTCGTTAGAATGTAAGTCTTAGTTCAGGTTTTGGTTCTCAAATGAAGTAAAGATTTGAATATTCTTATACAAAGATATAAGGTTCTATTTCGTTAAACCCTATTTCCTGTAACTTAACAGGCCCAAATTGGTTGCAATATGCATCAACTAGTTCACTATTTAAATAACCCTTTGATGAATTTAAAGCAAAAAGGTTATGCTGTATTTTATTGTAGGTAGCCACACCAAAATGCATTCTTTTTCTTCATCAAATTATTAATGGCCACAATAAAAAATACACGCGAAAAAATCACCTTTTATAAACATTGACAAATTGTGCACCCATATTTAAAAACAGAATGTTATCAAAAACAAACAATTTGTCAGTTCTTATCAGTCACATCAATGGCGACCATGAGAACTAAATACAAATATGGCGGAATATAAAATATTTAAAAAAAGAACTTGTCAAAAGCCCGCGAGCCAATATGTCTAACTAGTTCGAACTGGTGTTATGTAGTTATCCTTTCTGTTTAAAGTTTAAATAAAGAAAGAACGGTCATTGAACCTGCGCAAGCGTTCAAATTTTGAACTTTAATGAAAACTGAAGGATTTTGCTGCAGTGTAGATAATTAATTACCATTGATCTCGAATCGTTTTTTATAAGATAATATTTTGTCAGATATTAATTTCGTTTTAGTTCAGTATACAAATGTATCTTAAATAAACATAGATCCGAGCGCATTCTGTTTTATATTAGAATCATAACTACCTGCCTGAAACATCACCCGTGTTACTTAAACGTTCACAATTTCAAACTTAAAAATCACTCTATCCACTATAAAAAACTGCATCAAAATCCATACAGCAGTCTTAGAGTTAATCGCGAACAGACAGCACAGGACTTTGTTTTATAACATTGTAAGCAGACATTTTGAAATACATGAAATGAAACAATAAATTGCTTCATGTACCGACGCTCACAGCAAAATAATCTCTAAAGTATTCAATTATATCGTAGATAATAAATTATTGGCCTCTTTTGTTCGATAAAACTTCAGGAAGTTGTGAACGCAAATACAATATATACTGTTTGCTTAGCCTTATTATATTTCACTATATTTTATACTAGCTACTTTCGCGCGGTTTCACTCTCTCTGCTAGCGTGATATTTTATAGCCTATAGCCTTCCTCGATAAATGGGCTATCCAACACAGAAAGAATTTTTCAAGTCCAACCAGTAGTTTCGGAGATGCGCGTTCAAACAAACAAACTCTTCAGCTTTATAATATTATATTTTATATGTCACTATGAACAATTTTGAACAGACCGTGACAATCAAACTTCAGTACTCCACTGGACTACAAGCCTCTTCTACGCAAACGAGTATGCCATGCTAAGAAGGAAGTTGGAGATCGCGCTCAAAGTCAAAGTCAAAGCATTTATTTCAATTAAACCATAGTTTGGTACTTTTGAAACGTCAACAAATACAAAATAAATAATAGTCTATCAGTCAGTTTCAGTGAAGCCAGCTGAAGCTAGGTGGTCATTCCAAAATGTAGATTCGAATGGAGAAGAACGAGCAAGAAACTCCATTCGTTACTCTTTTAAAAAAAGTATGTTCTACAATGTCTCTGATACATATTCCAATACTGTACGTATATGTGAGAACAATGCAGTTCATAAGGTTCACATTTATAAAAGACCTCTTAAATTCCTTACTGTGTCTAAAATTATTTATATTATATCATCACAATATTTCAAAACTGCTACACATGACCTATTCCTTGCATAAACCTGGACGTTTCTGTGCGTGACATGTATATTAAGTAGCTAGTAATGATACAGGATATCCTACCCGGGCTGTGAGTATGAAGAGAGGAATTATTTCTATTATCTTCCTGTTTAAATGTATTATACAATCCTTAACATTTGATTTTATAGATTAATATCTAAAATAAGTTAAGGAAAAATAAACATTAAGACTTTGACTGCCAATAAAAAACTGTTGAAGGTAAATCCTCCGCTAACACCGGTCACCGGTGACCCCCATGGCGTTTAACGTGTTAAGATCTCTTTTGCAGAATTTTCCGTATCATGCAGGTTTAAAACGAATATTTTGACAGTTACTTTAAAAGTCCCACGTAACGAACGCAAGGCCTTGGCCAACAGAAAACAATGTGACAATAAGAGCCCCGTTATCACTTGAAATTAAACGGGCAATCCCCGAACCAACAGAATACACGACTAAGCTGCACAAAATCATTTGATTTAAATTCAAAATTGTTGACCGGTACGACAGACATGCGACGGTCAGTCCACTATCAGAGAAGGAAATACAAATAACTTCATTACTACTAATTAATGTATTTTTAATCTGTTAATCTCTCAAAAATAGCTGACTACCAAATTCCTTCACAATAAGCCTGTGATAAAAGAAACAATTTGGGCCAAATATATCTCCAATTTTGTGATAAAAGTAATTTATTTCAAATATGTTGTCGCCACTTTATCTGAATATTTGACACTAAGGCGATGTGTGTCTTCCTGTCAACGCAATTTGCGATAGATCATAGTGCCATGAGCATAGATCAAATAAGATGAAGATTAGAAACTATTGTAGATAAAAGAATACAAATACTATTACTTAACCCTCTATTTCAATCTGTTTCAATTTAAGTTTTTAATCACTTTTTTTAGTGTATATCAATTTACCTTTATTATAGGAACACATGAACAAAGCCAAAAGTGAATTTATGTAAAAAGTCGTCTTGATATCTCGATCTCCAATGTATGAACTCTCCAAAAATACGTAATTCTTTAATAAAAATAATTTATTTAATAAATACCTTTAATAAAAAGTGAGGTTAGGATTAATACTTGCTACAAAAAATAACAGAAGATTAAAAGCAAAACTCACCCTGCACAATGCAACGCCAGTATCCAGCCTATCAAGAAAGTTATCAGCGTTGATCCTCAGTTCAGGGTAGAGGACTGTCAGCCACTCAGCCAAGTCCTCTTTCATAGCATACAGGTACTCCTCTGAGGACTTGAAAGGCCTAAAAGGCCTGGCCTCCAGGAGGACTGCGCCTGCACTCGCCATTTTGGAAGGATTCAGGTCTAGTTGGACATTACTGGTCTGTAACAAAAAGAATTTTCAAGGTTATTTTAATTTATTAGTAATCGAAGAAACGCGACTGTCAGAAAAAACAAGATTATTTCGATTGAATTCTAAACTTAGTATCAAATAAAGGCAAATTTGATTCCGACATTATTAAATGTTTGCATTTTTTAAATATTCATTTTTAAAGGAAATTAGTGCGTGGTATATGCCATTAGATAACACTGGTCTACATCAAAATTGCCTTTTACATGAAAATATATTATATTGATTGTATTCCACTCGCTGAACATAAATATACAAGTTAAAATTCATAGTTAGCTCTTATTGTGCATTTATGCCATATAAATATAATAGCGGGTAGCGCGACAGATATATCACATTAATGATGATAACTCAAAATATTTAGTGATTACCCGCGGAAATTTTATTATTTCACATTTGTTTGTTGCGTTTAACGCTGACTGTGTTTTATTCAACAGTTAAAACGTGAAATTGTTACCGTTTTTTTTTACATTTTTAGTGAAAAATCTACAGTTTTCGTTATGTCGCGTAAATGTGTTAATAGTGCAGACAATTTTTGCTACATTTGTGGTAAGGTGACCCTTACTAACCAAAGATGCTCAATAACTCAACGTTTAGAAACTGCTTACTTCCATTATTTTGGAATTAATATTAAAAACCAAGACAAATCGTGGGTACCACATTTTAGTTGCACAACTTGCTCCACAAATCTGATTAAGTGGCTAAAAAAAGAAACGTTCATTGCCTTTTGGTGTACCAATGATGTGGAGGGAACCTACCAATCATGCGAATGACTGTTACTTTTGCTTGACTCCACCCATCCAGCACGGTATATCACGAAAAAAGAAACGAAGCGTAGTATACCCTGACGTAGCCTCTGTATCGCGACCTGTACCACACGGAATCGATTTACCTGTTCCTCGACCTCCCGAAGAATACCAGGAAGATTCTGAAGAAGCGATGATTTCAATGGAAGTTGACTACAATGAGCCTACAGCCTCACAATCGTCAGAGTTTGTGGGTGACAATATTGTTTCTGACGAACCTCATAGAGTTTCGCAAGATGAACTCAGCGACCTTATACGAGACTTAAATTTATCAAAAGATAAAGCGGAATTACTAGGATCGAGACTTAAGCAATGGAATTTGCTTCAACCGGATGTCAAAATCAGTTTATACAGATATCGTCAGAAGAACTTGATACCCTATTTCAAATCCGAAAACCAGCTTGCATTCTGTAATAACGTAAATGGCTTGATGAACGCTTTGAACATTGAATACCATCCACAGGAATGGCGGCTGTTTATAGACTCCTCAAAATTGAGTTTAAAAGCTGTTCTTCTCCATAATGGTAACACACAACCATCGATTCCGTTATGCTATGCTGTGCATACTAAAGAAACATACGAAAATATGAAATTAATTCTAGATGCTATATCATACTCAGAGCACGAATGGCAGATTTGTGGTGATCTAAAAGTCATAGCAATGGTGTTGGGTTTACAAATGGGCTATACCAAGTACTGTTGTTTTTTGTGCGAATGGGATAGTCGGGCTAGATCTTTACATTACATAAAAAAAGATTGGAATCCTAGACTAAGCCTGAATCCTGGAGAAAAGAACGTCAAGCACCTTCCTCTAGTTAATTCCCAAAAAATTCTTCTACCACCTTTACATATCAAATTGGGACTAATGAAAAACTTTGTGAAGGCTCTCAACAAAGATGGACCAGCATTCAAATACCTGCAAAGTAAATTTCCACGTATAAGCGACGCTAAAATTAAAGAAGGAATCTTTATCGGACCTCAAATAAGAGAGATTCTAAAGGACCAAAACTTTGATTCAGTTTTACAGGGCTTTGAAAAAGAAGCATGGGAATCTTTCAGAGCAGTAATTCATGGTTTTTTGGGCAATAAGAGAAATGAAAATTATGCTGAACTTGTGAACAATCTCCTTCAAAAGTATCAACAGTTGGGTTGCAATATGTCCCTAAAAATTCATTTTCTTCATTCTCATCTTGATTTTTTCCCTTCTAACTGCGGTGATGTAAGTGACGAACATGGTGAACGATTCCACCAAGATATCTCGACAATGGAAAAGAGATACCAGGGCCGATGGGATGCGTCAATGTTAGCGGACTACTGCTGGAATTTGAAAAGAGATACCCCTAACAGTGATTACAAAAGACAAACGAAAAAGAGAAGAAAATCTTAAATAAATACGTTATTTTTCTTTTTAATTGTAATATTTCCAATTTTATATAAGTAAAAAGCAAAAAATAATAGTAAATAATTATTATAGTTTTTTTTAATAAAATATTTTGTACTTTAACGTGTTACTAGAAGTCAAATTTTGTATATTAGGTATATTTCCAAAATAAGAGCTAATTAAAAAAACATATTCTTGTTTTTCTATTCAGTAACCTTAAAGCAATATAAAAATAAAGTATTCAATTGAAAGGCACACAAAAAGTTACATTTTGTAGACCAGTGTAATCAATAATTATTGTTAATGTTGCGGAATACTGCTCATGAACATGAGCCTCTAGAATGGCTTGAAACTAGTCGAGTTCCTCGTAAAACAGTTACATGAGTAAGCTGAACACATAATAATTAATTTAGTTTGTCTCACGAAAGTCTTAATATAAACTAAATGATCATTTTACATTTAACAAGATATTATTAATATTTTATTTTTTAAAAATCTAACGCCTCTACTAAGCTACATAGATAACATAGCAACATAGATAATAAAATGAATATTCTTTTTAATGATACCAATTAAAAATATTTCCTAATTGAGTCTAAATAACAAACGACACATCTCCGAAAGACTTTGAACTCCTAAATACATATCATGTCTAACAACCATTCCACTAACCACTAGAACTCATAAAACGATAACCTAATAACCCCGTACATACAAACAAACATTTTTTATCACAATTACAGATTTCGTAACATCCACATAACTATGACAAATGTTCTAAACTCAACCCATTCATGCGATATGACCAATTTTACTAGACCTCCCGTGGTGGCGCCACTTGTTGCGGAGAAACGTCAAAGAACTGTCAAAGTCGATAGTGTTTGGTTTTAGTTCCGCGTTTTGTTGAGGTCAAGGTTTTCTGGTGTCATAGTTATGTTTAAACGCTTATAATATCCTTGGGTGTCGGTTAGTGATTTGACAAGCAACAGGCAATTGTTTGTAATTAGCCAGGCGACTTCATTTGATCCTGTCAGCAATCTGAGTTATAACGAGCTTTAGATAGACAAGTCTAGACGAATGTTTTAAAGACCAAAAAGGTTGATGCCTAATTTTGATGCGACCATTAAACTTCATAGAGTTAATTGTTATTGTTTGACCTTTAATAAAAGTTGTGGTGTAGAAGGATGGAGAACAAATCGTTGTAAATAAATGATAGGTTATTTTTAGAAAAACGTTGCCCTCACTAGGTTTTCTCTTTGGTCACAAATTTCAACATAACAACATTACGCCTATTATCCTCAAAGGGGTAGGCAGATGTGTACATTACGGCACTTAATGCCACAATATAACAACCACAACACTTTTCACTATTTATCCCATGTAATAGCGAGTGAGCATATTGCCATGTAATGGGCCAATTCTGGACTCCGTGCTACTGAGAATTTTTAAAAAACCCAGTAACACTTTGCCCGACCCGGGAATCGAACCCGAGACCCCTTGCCCGGCAGTCACACTTGCGACCACTCGGCCAACGAGGCAGTCACAAATTCCATAACACCAAAACCACAGAACACTCTATCATGTTCACAAATAGTCCGGTGTTCCACACAGAAACCAAACATTGCACATTGCAATAAATAAACAATAACAAAGCAGGTTTAAGTTTATAACATCCTTTTTTCAGTACACGATGCAACAAATACACCCATAGATCACAATCAATCACCATCACTCAAGCACACGCACTACAATGTACCCTTCACTATTAAATTTCTCTAAACGACTTTCAACCTTAACATCTAAAGTTTAAATAGTAAAATCCTTTCAATAAAATTGACAAGAGAGTGTATTTTGATATGCTGCTGTTACAGTTCATTTACCCCCACGGTCGGTCGCCCACCGCGGCTCACTGCTCGCTTTCGCGGGTTCCAGTCCCGAGCGATGTAAACACTAGTTCTTACTATGATTGACTATGTTTATCTTGATAACGACTTTATGTCGCGAAATGAGGTTTTATGGAGTGAAAAATGCCTGATAAAGACTACAGATGCGTTGGTACGACGAATATAAAAATGATTACGGGAACTAATAGAATAGAATAGAATAGAATAGAATGTCATTTATTTCCAAGTATATGGTACATTGAGGTTTTACATTAAATATTGTTTCACATACACTACCATTGCTGGTGTAGAAATATTATAAGCAGATTAAAATAGCAGAAGATTGAAGAAGATGGTATAAACTGAACGATTACTCTCTAGAAGTTGTAGATGGCTAAAGAAGATGAAGAAGAAGATATGTATCATAAACATTAATATAGAAAATCTGTATCTGCATAGAACTAGGAATAGAATTTTATTGCAGGAGATCGACTGCAATGGTATCTGCATCATCATCATAACATCACGCCTTTTATACCCGAAGGGGTAGGCAGAGGTGCATATTATGCCACTGAACAATGTGACACCCACTTTTCACTATTTATGTTATGAGTCCCATGTAATAGGGGCTGAGCCTATTGCCATATACCGGGCACAATACCAGACTCCATGCTACTACTGTGATTTTTTTTAAAACCCAGTTATACTTTGTCCAACCCGGGAATCGAACCCGAGACCACTTGCGACCACTCGGTCAACGAGGCAGGTTACCTATAAATATATTAACACCAAAATCCACTATTATGACCCAGAAAGCACACAAATTAGTTTAACCAAACGAACATTCTAAAAACTAAACAGTTTACC